GCACTTTGTACGCGCTTCATACTGCGCGATTCGCACAGCTCTAAACACGCAATTCGACGCGCAATTCAACGTACAATCAGCTGCGGAATCCAACGCGCGCTTTGGAGTTTGCACCGGGCCTTATGTATGGAGTTATGTTGTGCCCCCGGCTTTATATCCTATACTTTGCGTGCTCACCACTGCATATCTCTTCCTTACAGCAACAACCTGACCGCTTTAGAATTCACGCGCTGAATCTTCTTCTGCAACCGGCTTCGCACGTTAAGTATACTCTTTGCATCTTCCTCTCCTCCGCGTTGAACTTCTCGCATTCAGCTTTGCGCATCTACCATTCCGCATAATAACGTGTTCCCGCTTCACTTCCACTCTCGACCAAGCGCAACTGTGCTGGGCCTTGTGCCTTTCCGGGTTTCGCTTTGTGCGCGCCTCCAACTTTGCGCATTTCCAGTTTTGCGCACCGTGCGCAGATTTATTTATGCTATCCGACCTACCTAGGCAGGCTCGACTCCTCTTTGTGCGCATCTCCAAAATTGTGCACATCCACGTTTGCGCGGTGCCGGACCTTGTGCGTTCATTTCTGTTGCGGCCCCAACTTTGCATATCCAATTCCTCCGCCCCGAATCTTGCATTTTGCAGCTGTTACCAGCCGCCGCCTTTCACTTTGCACAGACAGTAGTTAGCGCCGGGTCTTATGTGTGAAGTTGTGTTGTGGCCCCGACTTTATACGCTATACTTTGCATGTTCACCTCTGCATATCTCTTTCTTACAGCAGCAACCTGCCCGCTTTAAAATTCACGCGTTGCATCTTCTTCTGCATCGCATGTTAAAGCTACTCTTTGCATCTCCCTTTCCTCCGCATCGAACTTCCCGCGTCCGGCTTTGCGCATGTGCCATTCCGCATGATAACGTGCTCCCGCTTAATGTCCACTCTCCACCGATCGCAACTGTGCTGGGCCTTGTGCCTTTCCGGGTTTCGCTTTGTGCGCGGCTCCGACTTTGCGCATCTTTAGTTTTGCGCGCCGTGCGCAGATTTATTTATGCTATCTGATCTACCTAAGCAGGCTCAACTCCTCTTTGTGCGCATCTTCAAAATTGGGCACATCCACGTTTGCGCGGTGCCGGGCCTTGTGCGTTTATTTCTGTTGCGGCCTCTACTTTGCATATCCAACTCCTCCGCCTCTAATCTTGCAATTTGTACTTCTCATTATAACGTGTTCCCAATAGAACGTACAGCAAATAAAATGTATACCGATTGCAGCTGTTACCATCCGCCGCCTTGCATTTTGTAAGCGCTTCATACTGCGCGATTCGCGCACCTCTAAGCACGCAATTCGACACGCAATTCAACGTACAATTAGCTGCGAAATTCAACACACGCTTTGGCGAATAATTCGATGCACCTCGAGGTTTGCGCGGTGCTGGGCCTTGTGCGTTTATTTCTGTTACGGTCCCAACTTTGCATCTCCAATTCCTCCGCCTCGAATTCTGCACTTTGTACTTCTGATTATAGCGTGTTCGCGATATAACGTAAACGTCACTGTCGCTTCTTTCGTCCTCTCCGCCGTTCACGAGCTGCTATGCTTAACGACTCGATTAGTATACGTGTCTACCTCTGTCAACCTTCATGTCGGATCAGTCACCTCCTCCAAGACGGATTCAGCTTGGCTCGCTTGCGAACGGCTTCCATGGTGGAAGAATCCGTGGTGGAAGATCCGGAGGTGAGGATGCAGGAGCAGCTGCGTGCTGCGTCACGCAACTGCTGCTGCGCCCT